ACATTTTTTCCCTTAAAACATAAAAGTAAAATAATGTAATTAGCTATTTTTCCCTGACTCTCCCCAGAGGGCAGATGTAAATGTTCTTCCCAAATGAAGCTATTTATTTAAATCCATCCAGATTTCTTTTGAAGTTTAATACATCTTTCTTCTGCTATATCAGCTTATAGCTACAATAATTTAATAAGTTTTTCCTAGGGTGAAATTGGATGCCCTTTATCGATCTTACACCAAGGGGGCATTCAATTACCTAATCTAAAATGGTATTTCTGGATCTCTCAATTACAATTTTGTTATAAACGGCCTGCTAATGATGCCTGAGGTGCAAAGGTTAATAGGGGGCATCCAAGCAAAGGCTGGGTAATTGAATGCTTTCTATTTGGGGACCGTTATCTGATCTTTCACAGTGGCACCAAGTTCCCAGTTACAGCCTGCACCCACAGGGCACAGAAAGGAGCCCAGGCTGAGGAGCAATCTAACTGAAATATATACCTCCGTGCTTTGGTTTAATCCATGCATGGGAATGCCAAGAAGCTGGTCTAATCTGAGTCGACTGGCACCAAATGTGGTCACTGCAGACAGGTGAAGTACACCGCAGCATGCATTACTTAGTTTTGAAGGAAGAACAATCTGAGTGTTGGGTTTCTGAATGGCTGTTTCTGGGATAATTTGTGGTATATGGAAAGGGCCAATTAAGGAACATAATAGCAATCCATTTTCTTCCAGTACAGTCACATTAATTGGATTATTCTCCACTGAGTTGTGTCATTTAATAGCTACACATATTGTCAAGGCCCTTTTGAAAGAATATGTAGCACACCTCTCTTTATGTACTTGAGCAAATCCCACCCCTGACTCTGGCCTTCAAGTCTAGTCCCTTCTTGCCCGTCTGGTTTCTGCCCACCACCAGCCCAATCCTCCAAAGGTTTACCCCCGTAGTACTCAGGAGCTTTGCCTCCTCCAGCTTCTTTCCATGATGCCTTACATCCCCTGGTCTCTGTGGGACTGGCTTCCTTTCTGTCCCTGAGGCTTCAGCTCAGATGTCTCCCTGAAGTTAATTCCTCTCTGGTCACCTGTGCATCATACTCTTTCCTCTAAGATAGCACTTCTCACCCTAAGGGTGACTGTGCCACCCAGGGGACATTTGACCATGTCTGGAGATATTTTTGGTTGTCACATCTTAGGGCAGGAAGGATACTAGAAACTAGTAAGTGAAGGTCAGGGATGCTGCTAAACACCCTGTGATGCATGGAGTGGCCCCCACAGCAAAGAATTATCCAGCTCAAGTACTACACATGCAGCACTGAATATCCCCATTTTGATGGTTCGTTTTCTGCCTTTTCGTTTTTTTCATAGCCTTTATCAGCCCCTGAGATTATTTTACTCACTTGTAACTTCTTTATGTCCTGCTGTTCTCAAGTCCTCAACTCCTGGTGAAACAAGAGCCCAGGTAGGAAGGAAGCCACCTCTCTCACCCACCTCTGCACTACTCCATCCATAAAGGAGAGAGTTTTTCTGGAAGCCCCAAAGCTCTAGGCCCTTCGTTTTCAAGGGCGCCAGCAATATATTCCTCTGGTCATAAGATTGTTATTTTTAATCAGTTTTATTGAGGTGTATTTTACATGCTACACAGTAACTATATGTTTTGGTTAAACTTGTAAGTGTAAGGTATTTTAATATTTTTTTCAAAGAGGCCTCCCAGGGGTGTGTTTCTAATCCCTACAAAATTCTCCGTCTGATGCCAACTGGTGGTGGGCCGGTGACCTACTGTTCAGTTCAGTTCTGACAGGAACTTCTTGGAATTTAAGAGCTCAATCCCACAAGAATTCCTCAGCTTCAGGTGTCACTCTTGAGTACTGGCTCCCTGGGGAGTCCACACTTCGGTCCAAATTGGCCCCAAAGGCAGGAGGTTTCAACAGCTTCCTGTGTAGTTTGGAAATTTGCTAGATGCCTCACTGGGCTCAGGAAGTGCTTTCCTCAGGATCAGCAGGTTCTCATGGGAGTTCAGGAGTAGCCAATAGGAGAGATGCCCAGGGCAGGGGCCAGGGAGAGGGGCACACAGAACTTCTTGCCCTTGCTCTGCATGCCACATCTCCATGGGTCCACCAACCCCGAAGTTCTCTGAGGATCCCTATTGTTTAATGGTTTTTGTGGAGTTCTCATTACAAAGGCATGACTGATCAATCATATCACTGATCACTGGTGATTATAACTTCATCTCTATCCTCTTTTTCTCCTACTGGAAGTTGGGGAGCCAAGCTGAAAATTCCAGGCTTCTAACCAAGGTTTTGTCTTCCTGTTGTTCAGCTCCTATCCTGAATCTTCCTAGTGGGGGACCAAGAATCACCTCATTAGCATAAACTCAGGGGTGCTTGAAAAGGGTTTGTTTGGAGGGACAACACATGTTCCTATCACTCGGGAAACTCCAAGAATTTAGAAGCTCTGTGCCAGGAAGTGAGGATGAATGTGTGTGTGTGTGTGTGTGTGTGTGTGTGTACGTGTGTACACACCTCTATCTTGTATTGGCTTTAGGTTCCCATACCTAGATGTGCCTAGCACACAGTCAGCCTTCAGAATGTTTCTGATGAAAGAGTAAATGACTAAAATATAGGAGAAGAGCAAATACTATATCTGAGTGTTTTCCTAAGGCTTGTAAGGCACCTCAAGTTGTCTCCCTGTTATTTATGTTTAAAAAGTGAGCCTTAGAGCAGCCAGTGTGGCCAGAGGTGCAGCTGTCCAGCAGAAAAAAATGTGTGGTCAGCATCTGTCTCAGTCTATCCCCCCGCCCCCCAAATTTAGAGATTATCTGCTCTCCCCACTACAGGTTATTTACTTTGTTTGAAAGAGGACACTTTTGCTCTTGGTTAGGAATGTTTTGCCTATTCTGTTGTGTCCAGATTGTGTACATTCTTGTCCTGTGGCTTCAAAGTCCATTTTGTTTATTTGTTTGTTTTTAGAAAGAATCTAATTAGACCTTCCACAGAAGAAAGACGGTGCAAACTCCCTCCCGAGGAGCTTCGGATGGGAGTCTCTTTTTAAACTAGACTTGGCCTTGTCTTCTGTGTGAGAAAAGGTTTTCTTGGCTGTAGTGATGGAGTTTCTAAGTAAGGGATCTTGCCCTTTTGTTTCTTTGGTTTGGAAAAATTGTTTGTACCCAGCAATGGGTCAGGGGTGATTGAGCAAGTTGGAACCAGAGGTTTCAGCCTTGAAGTTCCTGATGTGCCTCTCCAGCTGCCCCAGGGGATGCAAGAGGGCACACTGGAGTCTGAGATGTTTGGCCTGGTCTCCTGGAGCAGCTTGTCCTGCTCTCTCCTCCTCTGTGCTCCTACAGATGCCTCTGCCTGACACTCAACTCAGTCCTTCCTGATCAGCACTTTTTAGACTGGTTCCTTGAGACCTTAGGGAGAAATTCATTGGCCAATTATGTTTCACCAATTCTGTGTATTATATCCCTCCAGCGTGGACCCACAGGGCTTGCTGGCATATTAAAATCCCTGCTGTAAAGAATTCTGTGTAATTTTGTCCATCCCACCTTTTCTGCAAGTAATTTAAGCAAAGATACTTGCTGATGGGATGCTGAACATTTTGAATGGAAGAAGTTTTCAGAAATACTGCTTGGGTATTTCTTGACCAGATAATTCAAGAAAACATAAGTCTTTTTGGTCCAAGGAAAATGAAAGTTTCTCCTGGAGAATCCTGGTTGTTCAATCCGCCAGTCAATCCCCGGAGGCTCCATTGAAGGGTTACTTGTTGCCACCTCTCTAGGGACAATAAAGATTGTTGTGTGCGTAAAGTTGGAGGTGAGTCTGCCATCTTTAGGTGATTTCAGTCCCTAGAGAAAAAATAATGTGGTAGAGGATCTGTCACTTTTTATTGTACTTCAAATGATCTTGGCATTCATTGACAATTAAAAATCATGATATAGTTGATGATGCTATTATTATCAGTTATCTGGCTCTTATGAGATGCTAAATATGTGTCAGGCATTATGCAAACTCTTTACACATATATTAACTCATTTAGTACTTTTTTACAAATTTATAATGGAGATAGTTATTATTATTCTAATTTTACCAGTGAGGAAACCAAGGCTCAGAGAGGTTAGATGGCTTGCTTAGGGTCAGAATGCTGGTAGGTGGGGGTCTACCAGGGCTGGAAAACAAGAAGGTTTCTTTATGCTCATCCAATACTCTTTTTATGACATCTACAAAGAAGTGTCATTTGGGAAACAATACATTTTACAACCACAGGATTGTGTTAATGGATTTTTAAAAATCATGTCTTCCCCAGGATGATGAAAGTGAAAAATTATTTCAGGGTCTGAAGTGTGCACTGCTCAGGGGAATATTGTACACTGGATTTAATTGCTTAATAACTTAAAGTCAAATGGTTTTTTTATATGATACACTGTACTGAAGAAGAGAATCATTTCATTGTTTCTAAATTTTCATTAACTTTTGCTTCCAAAATTGATGGTAAAGGCTAGCTCTAGCTAAGAGATTACTGATGCTATTAGGAAGGGTGAAAAAACCTATTTTCTCTGCTTGTTCTCATACTAACCATCTCTTTAAAATTATTCTTTATATTTTTTATTGACTTAAAACCCCCGGTGTTTCCATTCATCCCTCAAATTCATAGCTGTGACTGCCCAAATCTGAGAATGAATGCAAAGTCCTGGGTAGGACTCCGAGATGCCATAACTTGATGTATGAAGGCAGAGGTATTAGAGAATACGGGGCATTGTGCACAATATGAGGTGTTGGACGTGGTGCCAGTGTTTGGGACCACATTTGGTGGCAGAGATTGAACCTCAAAGCCAAGCACAAGGACCTGGAGCCTTCCTTTTATCCTATATGATTTTCTTGACTTGTGACCATGCTGGCTTGACTCAAAGTGAGAAATGGGAAAGAGAAGTGAACATCTATTTTTCCCTGAAAGATGATCCCTGGGTTCTGGCTGTTACTACATCATATAATAAGTCTTATTTTATTTGTGTTTAGGTAATCTGACATTTTTAAGAGTTTGTTCCCTATGAAGAGGAAACATCCCAAAGGAACACAGAATGTAAAAGTAGAAATCTTCCAGGTGTCTCCATGGGTAGTGCGCTTGGCCATCTGTCCATGAGAAGACCATGATATCTTCAAATTTCTGGTGTGTCTCCATGTTCTCCAGTGATACTGTTCCTCCTTTTTTTTGTGCAATGGGAAAAACCTGAAGGACAGGCAGAATTACTCCTGTACTCGTGACAGCCTCCATGTTTCAGTGGCTCTTGTGGAACATGACAATTAGAGATCACTTCCCTGTGTTGTCTTTCAGACCTGAGCTAAAGGATGTGCTTCTTCATTCTCTAGTGTGCTGGTGGCTGCTCATTTTTATATTTGTTTCTGCTACTTGTGCCTTCTGACCATCTTATGTAATAACAAAACGTCCTTAAAATTTCCCAGCACAGTTGCACGTGTCCAGACTCCTTGGAGGACTTGCCCATGGCTCACTAAGCCAGCAGTCCAAGGGCACTACCATGAGGCACTGCATTAATTGCTGCATACACTTGATACCTGACAACGCACACAAACAGAAGGTTGGCTGCCGAGGAGGCCTTCAGCACAGTCAACAGGTGTGCCCCACGTGCAGAGGAGAAAATAAAATTCTGTTCCGTGTAGACAGTAAGCAGATGAACTTGCTTGCTGTTCTTGAAGTGAGGACTGAAGGCAATGAGAACTGGGGTGGGTTTTTGCGCTTTAAAAAGGGCAAGAGATGTAGCCTCATTTTTGGACTGATAATAATGACCTTGGTGATGGCTTCTTACATCCTTTCTGGGGCCCACCAGGAACTTCTCATCTCATCTCCTTTCCATTATGGCAGCTTCCCTAACAACCCTAGCTTGATGGATGGTGAAAACCCCAGTGATATGAAAGAGCATCATTACCAACCCTCTGTAAACAATATTTCATACATGAAGGACTATCCAAGCATTAAACTAATTATCAACAGCATCACTGCCAGGATTGAGTTCACGACCAGGAAGCTCCCAGTCTTACAAGATCTCAAGAGGCAGGAGTTGCATGTGAGTAGCATTGTGTTGATCTTCATTGGCTTAAAAAATTAGATACATCCTTTGCTATCACCATTTTTGGGAACATAGAAAGAGAATGATTGAAAAATTTCTCAGCTGTAACAAGGATAATCTGACAGTCTTGCGGATCAGTGCACACTGTTTATACTATGGAACACCAAGAAGGGAATTTGCTGTTTTGAATGGCCCAGCTAGAAATATTTAAGAACCACCCTTCCTCATAATTGCATTCTAGGACTTTTTGCTTGAAATGGAGTCACGGTGGTTAAAGTTGCTTTTGCAGGCCACCATCACTTAGAAATTTAAAGTTGGGTGTAATTTGCTGTTTTTTAAAAATTTTGTCCTATTCTGTATTTTTGTTTCTAAAGGTGATTTAAATATACAACTGGTAAAACAAATTTGCACCTGTTTAATTAGATTGCTGTGTGTGTGTGTGTGTGGTGTATAGGAAAGATAAATCATGGTAGAATGAATATTGCTTAAACTTTTTATCTTCACTCTTCAAAATTTTTTAAAATTAATTTTGAGAGAAACAAAGAATACACAGCCATTGGTCGTCTACCAAGTTTAGCTTTATCTTTGAACCACTGTGAAATATAGTTCAACTTTGAATGTTGTAATCCAGATTAGGACACTATTGCATTGTGATTAGAATGTGTTTTCACTGTTTTTTTCCCCCTCTGGCATGTTTCCCTCTTTTTTCTTCATTTCAGATGTTTTCAGTCATCCCCAATAAGTTCCTTCCCAACAGTAAGAGCCCCTGTTGGTATGAGGAGTTCTCTGGGAGAAACACCACGGATCCCTACCTCACCAACTCCTATGTGCTCTACTCCAAGCGTTTCCGCTCTACCTTCGACACCCTGCGCAAGGCCTTCTGGGGCCACCTGTCGCATGTGCACGGGAAGCACTTCCGCCTGCGCTGCCTGCCACACTTCTACATCATTGGGCAGCCCAAGTGTGGGACCACTGACCTCTATGACCGTCTCCGGCTCCACCCAGAAGTGAAATTCTCTGCCATCAAGGAGCCACACTGGTGGACCCGGAAGCGGTTTGGTGAGTTCCTTGTCTCCTCTCTTTTGTTCCCTTTCTTTACTCCTTCAGCACACTTTAGATCTGGGTTTGGGACCAGGGTGAGGCTCCCTTAGGAAAAAGGACAGGGGAGATGTGAAGACATACTGAGACACAGATATCTGACATTTCACCTGCCACTAGAAAGTTGCATTCGTCTGTTTTGTGTTGCTCTACCAAAATACTAGAGGCTGGGTAGTTTGAAAGGAAAGAGATTTGTTTGGCTCACCATTCTGGCAGCTGAAGGGCCCAAACTGTGGTGCTACATTCTGGAGAGAGTCCCTTGGCGACATGTCAGCACTGCAAAGAAAAGAAAAAGGCCACATGCCGAAGAAGCTAAGCTCTGGGTGACCTCACTTTGTAATAACCCACTCTGGCAGGAACTCATTTACCTCAAGAGACTAGCAGTAATTCCTTTCCAGGCAGTACACCTGTGACCTGATCACCTTCCACTAAGCCCCGCCTCTTAAAGGTCCCATCACCTGTCAACATCACCACACTGGAGACCAACCTTATAGCAAATGAACCTTTGGGAAACACACCATTTCCAAACCATTTCGAAAGCATAGCAACAGATTACAGGGAAAGAGCCATCAAGGTCTGGAAGCCAGTTTCTAACTGCCCAGTGAACCTTGATTGAGTGTTAGCTGTATGCAGAGCAGGGACAGGTACAGAATGGACAGCTCTTGTCCTGAAGAGCCTCGGCACATGACTCTGGTGGTGAGCAATACATGTTGGAGTTTTGGTCAGTAAGAAGCAGCCCACTCGACTGGCGTGGCTGGTGCCCAGGTCTGTGTTATTTTATTGGAGTCCCCATGACTAGTGGAGACACAGATGCTCTGGGTCTCAGTTTCAGTGACCTGCCCTGTTTGCATCACATGTTTTGGTACGAAACCCAAAAGGAGGACATCGGAGATCCTGCTTTCCACGCCCTTTTGCCACATGGTTGACCCTGGATACTGCCCATCCTTCTTTGTAGGGTGGTTTCTGCTGCAGCTCAACCCTAAGCACCCTGTGTCCCTCTGGTCACTGTTTCCTCTCCATAACCTTTCCTTTCTGCCAGGAGACGTTTGGTCACTGGAGCTATGGGATGATACATGGTCTGTTGTCTGCCAAGGTCTGGGAGGGCCTTTGGTCTGGGTGAGGGTGTTTTTTGCATAAAGGACACAGGTTGCCTAGAAGAGAATCTTAAAAGTTTTCCTTAAACCAACTGTGAATATACTTTCTGACGACAAATGTTTGGTTTTATACTTTTGACATTCAGCATGGAGTGAACAAAAGTAGAGTGTTTCCTTATTGGTTTAGCCGTGGTCACCATGGTAGCCAAGATTTCATGTCCATACACATTGGCCAGACATGTCTAAATACACTTTCCCACTGTAGGGGGCTCTCCCCTCCATTGCTCCCTGTTTTCCCTAATGAAAAAGTTTCCCACTGGCAGGAGAGAGAGAAAAACAGGGTGTGCCTTGGAAGCTGGTATTCAGTGTCACCTTGAACTTCCTGTTATTTTGACCATCTGGGGCAGGGGATTTAGCTCAGTGGTTCCGCTGCCTGCCCTGCAAACGTAAGGACCCAAGTTCGATCCCCGGTACCAAAAAAAAGAAGAAGTGTATTTTGACCATCTGTGTTGTCTTTCTACTATATAGTAACTTTGGTAGCTCTGGTTTGTCAGTGTGTTTTCAAAATGTTTACAAGTGAAATTTATCCATTTTTAAGGCAAAGGGCAAATTTAGCCTGTATGTGGCCAATGCCAGAGTCTGTGTTCACCCAGTTCCTCTTACTTTTCACACAAGTAAATGGTAGGTTGACCAAGGAGGTCTGGAGATAGAATACCAGGCAGATGCTGGTTGGGGGTCCCATGAAGAAAGGTCCCATGAAGTGGATTGAATGCTGTTCCTCTGACTGGAGGCCCTTTCTCATCTTTTCTTGTTTGATAACATGGTGTGCATCCTGTATTCCACTGCTGTCTGGCCACTTTACTGGTATATATTGTGACCAGCCCCAAACTTTAACCCTCCACGTAAACATGTTTCTAGCTCTTGAATAGGTGTGCCATCCTTTAAGCAGCCACTGCCCGCTAGCGTTGGTCTCCTCCACTCCTTGAAGTGTGCATGTGTTGAAAGAAGACAGCCGGTGAGCAGAGGCCCTGTCGCTATCCCACATGCCTCCTCCTGAAGCTTAACTGGCCTGAGCCTTTTGCTGCTATAGCTGGGCCCCTTGGGACTTTCCCTCCCTCTCTGGTCACTCCAGGAAGCTACCAACCTAGCAGTGGCAACTTTGTCTTCAAACTTCTGCTTCTTGCTTTCCGTAGGAATCGTCCGCCTGAGAGATGGGCTTCGAGACCGCTATCCTGTGGAAGATTACCTGGATCTCTTTGACTTGGCTGCACACCAAATCCATCAAGGACTGCAGGCCAGCTCTGCAAAGGAGCAGGGCAAGATGAATCAAATCATTATTGGTATGGTTTCCCTCAGGAGGGTCAACCAGCTCATACTGTGGGTTGTCCAGCTCTGCCTCACCTCAGAAGCATTTTCAGATGACTGCAGAGGATCACTGAGCCTCCACTTCCCTACCTGGCCACCACTCTGTCACCACTCTCACTCCTATTAAAATGCTCACATTACTTGTACTGTTACTATGGAACAGAAATGTTTGGTCAACTTTCTGATTACATGTAGACTCAAGAACAGCTGAAGTGGCTTTTAAAATAAGTTGCCATATCTTTATTTTTATTTAAACTAGGCAGACTTGACTTCCTTTCATAATCTGTTGATCTAAGCTTGGATGGAAGGTCCTAAATACAACTGATGAGTTGTTGATTTCATACTCAGGCTGTTGTAACCCCAGCCACTGTGACCAGGTCTACTCCTGAAGTATGCAGGGCTCCACATGGCACCTGGGACTCATTGCTGTTTAAAAGGCCTCACCCTCATCAGCCTAATATTTTTGGGCATTCTAAATGAGGCTGTTCGATTAATCATTTATTTTAAAAATTCACAAAAATGTTTTATTATGATATGTATTCATTCTTTTTACAGTTATATTTATTGTATATATTTAGCTGTACAAATGATGTTTTGACGTACATAGTGAAATGATTACTGTAGCAAAGCAAGTTAACATACTTATCTCTTCACGTAGGTTCCCATTCATCCCCTCCCCCCTTCAATGAGAAGAGCACCTGAAATCTGCTTTTTCAAAACATTATTAGCTGTGGTCATCATGCTGTGCATTAGAGCTCCAGTCTTGTTCATCCAATATAACTCTTTTTAGGGAAGTCAGCTTGGGACAAGGCATTTATCCACTGCTGCTTTCTGAAAGAGAGAAATTTAATCGTTCATTTTGCTTAAATTGGCTACCTGAGCCAGCGATCTATTTTTTATTTTCCTAGATCTATTATATTTTGATTCTTTAAATTAAATGAATCTCTAATTGAGCAGGGTGAATTGTAATCAACCACTTGAACAAGGATGTTTTCTTGGGACTCTCGTGGCTAAGGAGAGGCATATGTGCCTAAATCTGGACTGGTTTCTTTTTTTTTTTTCAACTCAAAAGTCAAGTCATTGGGAGGCAGTGAGATTTTACCCCATAACCTCAGTATGAAGTGTGTATGAGTTTTCCTATTTTGGGGATCCAAATACCCCACATAATAAACTTAATTAATATTTTGTTGTGACTGCCATACCATATGTTTCTGGGAATATGTCAGATTTTATGAAAGAGCTAAAAATACTCATCTTAGGACCAGGAAACAGAGACTTAGATAATGAATGGAAAAAAAGAGAGCTTTCATTTGGTTTTCTGATTTTAGTTACTGCTAGATTTTGAAAAGAAGAAGAAGAAATAAAAATACCACAGTGGTATTTACTTCAAGCAGGGTTTGGTGTGTGCAATGGTAGCTTTACCGTGTGATAGATGAGGCGGAGAGGCAGATGAAAAGCTGACTTCTGGTCTTGCCTGTGTCATAGCCAGCTCTGGGCCATGTGACAAGTCAGGCTTTCATCCTGAACTTGGTCAGCAGGCCTGTAAGATGGAAGTGTTAGGCCAGATCAGTTCCAGTCTTCTCCCAGCCCTGGAATATGATTTAGTTTTGCGCCTGCTCTTCCTTCCGATATCTTTGGCAAAGGCAGCAAGTTCTCATTGACTGGGGCCTGTGGATCAAAGTGGGCCTTCTTTCAGCAGTCTAGCAGTGAGAGACATGCAGGAACCTCAGGATTCAAGAGGCCAGGCTCCAAGGGGCTGGGACTTTGGGCATGTTGAAAAGTCCCTACATCTTCGCACATGGCACTGTGCCCTGTCCCTTCTTGGCAACTTCACATGGTAGCCGGTAGTTCTTGAATTGTTTGTCATCACCTTAGATTTTAAGGTCCAACAGGGGAGCATCTATGTCTGTCTAGTTTCTCTCCTCTGTCCCCAGTGCCAAGCACAGTGCAGGGCACAGATTAGATATCCCTTGAATGCTTCCTGGACAGATGAATGATGGAGATGAATAGATGGACAGACGGCCCTTGGTAAATGGACACATGCTTCTGTGGTTCTAGAACCAGTTTCTTTTTAAGATCTGACAGAATTTGTGCTAATTCAGTTTTAGATACTTCACTTGTCTTTTGTATTCCCTTTTCATTCTGAGTAGAATTTTCAAAGGATCTCTGATTGACTTGTCTTTTCTGTATCCTAGGGTATTATGTCTTTTAAAATATAAGAAAGAAAGGCTAGAACAGAAATTTTCATCTGATATGATTACACATCCAGCAGAAGAAATGGGGCCTTGCTAGCTTCTTGAATGATTATAATGTTCTTATCACTAACCAAAGAGACTTAATCTTTTAGTTCAGATTTTCCCTGAAAAAATGCCCTGGAGATTAATGTATAGTCCTATGCATGGTGTCCAGAAATTGTATCACTGATTGATTGATTTGCCATTCTTTCTAAATCTGTGAAGATAGTCCTAAAAAAAAAAAAATCAGTGAGTTGGCTCAATTTTAGAGACTCTGTGTGATTACAGTGCCTGTGTCTCAGCCTCACCTCTGTCCTCCATGGTATGTTTAACATTCTCATCCTTTGGCCATATGAACTGTGATAAAATGGGCCTGGGATCTGTTCTCACAGCCAGTACTGAGTGAAGACAGTGGACACATGGTCATGTAGCAGACAGACCTTGATGCTGAGGCCCCTGTGCTTCTGGCAAATCATCCTTTTCACTAGGATCTAGAATGCACCCCATGACTGTTCCTGTTCAAGGAAAGATGGATGCAAATTGCATTTGGTTTCCTAGTGAGGGTTCATTCCCCTAAACTACTCCTTTCTTCCTGATGCTTTTTGAAGGAAACTAGCACATTCTCAGTGGGCCCTTAAATATTGTGAAATTAAGGGGCTTTAAAGGGTTGTATTTTTGTTCACCCTGAAGACAGGATCTAGAGAGGAGGCATTCAGTGTTTCATGGATTCCTGGGTTTTCAGACAGAGGTTTGGGGTAGCAGCAGGGGTCACTGCAGCAGGGATAGGCAGCAGTTCTTGCTCTGGAGTCCTATCTGCCAGGGATGGTTGATGAGCTTGCCTGCCATAAATATTTAAGAGGAAGACATGGGAGCCAGACTTGGCCTCCAACACACAGTGGGAAGCTGCACCCTGTAGCTCAACAGCTGCTCATTTGCAGGAACTTCTATTTCCAGGGGAGGCCAGTGCTTCCACCATGTGGGATAACAATGCATGGACTTTCTTCTATGACAACAGCACAGACGGCGAGCCGCCATTCCTGACCCAGGACTTCATCCACGCCTTTCAGCCAGATGCCAAGCTGATCGTCATGCTCAGGGACCCTGTGGAGAGGTGAGCGATTTTTATTTTTGTGTTTGGGGTGAAAAGAAAAGGCACTTTGGAAAGCAGTGTTTCCTTCCCATCACAAACAAGAATTTGCCTCTATTTTTAAAAGAAATAAACAGGCTTAACTTCCAATGTCACTGTTATTGCTAATGTAAATATTATTCTGGGGGCAATCTCCCTTCCCTTTAAACAAATTGAAGACTGTTTCCTTAGCAATTCTGACCCTGGTCTGTGGGCCATGGCCTCTGGGAACTTTGACCTGGGGATGTGGAATGGTTTCTGGTGTTCTCAGGGCTTGGGGACACCCTTAAAATCGGAGATGTGGGACTTTTCCTATTGTCTAACTCCCAGAATTCCAAGTTTCCTGACTTGGTTGATGCCTGTTTTCCTTGTCAGTCGGGAATGTGCTCTCTCCAGCTTTCGTTGAGACCAAAAGGAAGAAATAAGCTAGACAATGCTGCTTTGCCTTTAAGATCTGGGGTTTCCCTGCCTGGATGAGGTGAAGCTAGTGTGATCCTGAACAGATAGGTGGGAGGTAGCCTGACCAGCTTGGGGCATTGCAGAAGCCACTGGCAATGCCTGTGTGAATCACAGAAGGCTGCTGGGCCTGTGATATTATTTAGTCCAGTGCCTCTAAAATACTACCATATCAGACATAAGTGGGCCTCCAGTCTGTCCAGCATCCTCTGAGACAGGATTTCCCACCCAAGATGGCCAGTGTAGGTCAGGACAGCTCAATTTTTCCTATTTTGAGTGCAAGCCCATCTTTGGGAAATATCCACAAGTTAGTCCCATTTCTTCTTTGTAGAGCCATTCAGTCCAAGTCTAATCCTTTCAAACTGGGAAAGCCTGTCAGATATTTAAGCACAGATATTTGTCTTATTTTCCTCCAGATTAACCATGTTTTGTTATTGGTTGAATTATGCCTCCTCCTCCAAAAGATATGCTAAAATCCTAATTCATATATGTGACTATGACCTTATTTGGATATTGGGTCTATGCAAGTACTATCCTACCTTAAGACACAAGGCACTATCCTCCCTTAAGAGTGTGCCATGTGAACAGATTGGAGTGATGTGACCACAAGCCAAGGGATGCCAAGGATTGCTGGCAACCAGGAGGAGCTACGAGATAGGCATGGAGTAGATTTTTCCCCCAGAAGCCTCAGAAGGTGCCAAGTGTGCCAAATTAGGATTTCAGGCTTCTGGCTACCTGAACAATGAAAGAATAATACATCCTTGTTGTTACATGCCCACGATGTGTGGCAGTTTGTTACAGTAGCATTAGGACACTCACCTGACTCTTTCCTCCAATATAGCACACCTTTCTGGCTCCAATTATAACAGTAGTTAGTTTGTTGTGGAGATGTTAGAATACATTGGAAAACTATAAAGGAACACTGTTTTCAAAAACACCTATAATCTCCCATCCAGGTAACTACTATTTATATTCTGGTGTATTTTCTTCCAGACTTCTTTTTTATGCAGATAAGTATAGTGTGGGTGAACACAGTCGGTGAATATACGGTCTTGTTTATTGCTTCTGTTGTTTAGAATTGTTGCTGTAAGGGACTCACTTGAAAGTCCACACTTGTGTTGACCTCTGCATCTTTCTGTGGAGGTCTCAGAATGGGTCCACCTCCTCTGAGTGTGACAGGTCAGAAAAGAGCTGGACTGTCCCTCCCTGAGCACATGGTAGCCCTCCTGGGGCCACGGCATTGGGCAGCTGCTGTGTGTGGTTCCTTTGGCTGTCTGCGTCTCCTAGCCTTAGGATCCCTGGAGATTGAACAGCCATGTCCTGCCTGTTAGTTCCTACCCTTTGGAGGCCAGAATTCAGCCCATGCCTCCTAGAGTGGGCTGGGCTCCCTGGGCCTGGAACAGCTGACCTAAGCCATTAGTGCTCTGTGTAGACATGGTTGCATAACCATGGCCTGGAGAGGGAACAGGCCAGCGAGGAAACCAACCCTCGACACCCACTGAGGTATTTTCACTTTCACAGCTGCGGCCCGCCCCCTCCCCACCAGCACCCGTCCAAGTTCACAAGATGGAACATTGCCTCAAGTGTGTGCTTTCTGCTCACCTCATGTTTTCCTGTCACTTCTTGGTTTCCAGTTCTGAGGAAGGTCAACCTGTGCCCAACTTCAGGGGCCAGAGGAGTGAAAGCAGCCGGCTTTGGTAGCTCTCTGGGCAGTGAGAATCAGTCTGGCTGGACTTGCTTCTGTGTGTAGAGCCCTTTTAGCCTTGGGGGGAATGGAGCTCACAGTTGTTTGAGGAGACTGGCAGGGCCATGGATAGCTGGAGGAGGGTGCCCTGAACTGGAGGAGCCAATGTCAGGGTGGGTTTTCAAAGATGAATAAGAGTGTGCCACATAAGCAAGGAAGAAGGTGGGCCACGAGGAAGGAGCATCTTGAGCAGAGGGACAATGGGTAAAGAGGCAAAGACTGTGTTTGTCTTTCTACTGGAGCATGGAGCTAGGCTCCCTGTGTCCTTTGATTCTTGGAGTCTGGGTCTGCCTCTGAGGACACAAACACTCTGGCGGTAAGCCTTTGAGTAGGGAGGACATTCATGCTGGTCAGGTTCAGGTGCTTGGCCAGGAGCAGAGCTCTCCCACCTCGCTTCTTTTACCCAGCCACATGCATCTGTCATCTTTTGGGAGGCTCCTGTCCTTACCTGGTTCCTCCCAAGAGCTGCTGTGTTTTCCTTCTTTTTTTCAAAAGAATAAATAAGATGAAGATTTCTTTCCTCTCTGGTCTTCAGGTTAACAGAAATAGTTCATCAGTTCAAACATTTATTGAGCCCCTGTCACATGCTGAGTACTGTGTGGGATGCTGAGTATTTGACTGGTGAGTGACCAAGGTGGCCCACTGCCTGCCCTCTGGGAGATGAGAAGTGGGCTTTGGCTTTGTCTTGACAAGTATGACAGTGCTAAGGAGCAGAGAGCAGGATGCAGGGCATCAGTGGGCATCAGGACATTCAGCCACTTTCTGTGGCTGTTGTATCAGTTACCTACTGCTGAGTAATAAGTTACTCTAAAAGGTAGCAGCTTAAAACAACACCAATATATCTCATAGTTTCTGGGGATCAGCAACCTGGGTGCCTCCTTGCTGGGTTCCTTACCTCAAGGTCACTCTCAAGGCCACAGTCAAGGTGTCATCTGGGGCTGGGATCTCTACATTCCTCACCTGGTGCTCAGGAAACTGGTGCCTGGCCTCACCACCCAGAGAAGAGTAACTTCTAGCTTGATGGTAGCTCCAGCAGCAGCAGGAGTACATTTATGTGCATATTTTCTCTATGAGTTACTGACAGCAGCAGCTGTTTTATCACTTCCTAAACATTTATAAAAATATGTAACAATAGAAATTTCTCCTTTTTCAACCCGTGACTCATGGCCTATCTGAAGTGGCTGGCTCCTTCTCCATCCTAGCCAGAAAAGATGATAAATATTTTGTGTTTAGGTCACCCTTAAAAAAACAAACAATCTGAGCCCAAGTCCCCATTAGTCTAACTGGCTCCTGGGCCTTCAGCCCACTTCAGTTATCCTATGACTTTGCACTTCTGCAAGTGGGAGTTTCCTTGGGCTGTTCAGTGCCAGCTGGAGGTTGAAATATTATTTCTAGTTTTATATTCACATTTAGCTTTTATTTCTATAATTGATCAAAGGTAGAGGGTTTGAGAATGTTAGAATTGGAAGCCAAGCCAAATCACTTTTAAATTTCCAGGGAAAGATGTAAACAGTTTTTTTCCACTGCAGAAAAACAGAGAAATAATGGAAAGAAATGGGTGGAATGGTTCATATGGCAAAAAGGCCAGCCAAGAATTCATGTTCCACGCTTTTCTCTTTAAGAGATTGTAACAATTTAGAAATAAAGCACTGCATTCCTATGCTAAATCGGCTCACTTAATTAAAAAGAAGCCACCAATTAGGAGCAGAATTTCTCTTCATTTAATCCCACTCTTAAATGGTAAAGACTGTTCTTCTCAGAGGCATCTCACATTAGCCTCCTGCCTGTCTTCATTTGTGACCTGGCTGATAGTTTGCTTCTTAACTGAAAGGCAGTTGTAGCCTTGTTCAATGTGAAAGAAAAATGGCTGGAAGGTGCTGTCTCTCTGACATCAGTGTATTCCTCTTCCATTCAAGGGATGTTTGGAGAGGGGTCATGCACCATCTGTGAAGGGTTTTACAGTTTCTACATTTTGCTTTTATTCTGCATGTAGTCTTAGTGCCATGCCCAGAAATAACCACTGCAGGAACTGTTGGTTTTCACATTTCATGATGATGGCTCTATAGGCTCTATGGAGATCTGAGCTTAGTTAAAAAGTAGAACTTGATTTTGACCCAAATCCCTTGAGCCTTTGAGCCTAGGAAGGGGTTTACTTTATCTACTTACATAAACTGATTTTTTAAACACCCTCTTGGACTGGTTAAATAATTAACTTACTCATGATGATTAGGAAGGGAAGGAGGCTTTTAATGAAATGCATCCATTTGTATGCAGTTGCTCATGGGGACACAGGGTAATGATGAGGCTGAACATTTGGACAGGAATCCAGGTCTCATTGATTTTCCTCTCTGCGCAGCGTGTGTGGTGGGCATGTGGGTGAGGAGTAGCTTCTGCTGCTGAGTGCATGTGGGGAGGTGTGCCAGGGCTGTGATGACAGAGAAAACTGCAGTGCCCAGTCAGGCTGCATTAGAGCCCCAGCTCGGTCGCTAGCTGGCTCTGTGACCTGGGGAAGTAACTTAACCTCCGTGTCTCACCTCCTTTTCAGTAAAGTGGGGGAGAGTCCTCCCTTAAGACTGTGAGAATGAAATGACTTCATATATGTAGCAATGTGTTGAAATTGTGGAGAATAAATATTATATACTTGTAGTTATTATTATAGTTAGATATCAATAGTAGCTAATAATAATAATAACCAAGCTGATCACTCACTATATATTTATCTAGCGCTTTTAATGTTTTGAGGCATTGTGTACAGAGGAGAGCAAAATCCATCCCATCTGCCCTC